ATGAACTCTACAAATATATGCATTATATCATGCTAAAAGAACTTGAGAACCACTTTTTTCTTGTTCCCAGGGTCTCTTGACTGTTAGCAAGACATTACAGTCATAATGATAGAATTGGTTTACGGTTGCAAATTCTGCCAAATATCTCACAAATTGTCTTTGGCAAACAGCACTGCCTCTGTTTCACAAAGATAATGATCTGATGTTTTGTTTATGTGGCACCAAAGGAAAATATTGGTTTAGAGCTCGTGATAGAATTTCAAAAAGTTTGTGTGGTATCCTAAACTTCTGATACATTTAATAGTTACCACTCTATTAAATACAGAGTAACATGGACTCTAAAAGTATCCTCCAAAAAAGAAAGAAAAAAATTAAATTAAATTGAATTTTCAATTCAATTAAATAGGTTCAATTAAATAGGTTGTGTCCATTTTATTTCCTCAGCGTTTACCCAGCCCTACACAGCAGCTGGTGTGGATATGCATGCCGTGCTTTTTCCATCTGATGGTGTCGAACATATAGCTGAGTTGCCGTAAAGGCTGCTCACCTGTGCAGGATTTAGGGTTATAGGAGTGCGTTTAGGATGTAGTCTGAAACCCACAGCACACAAAGGGAAACTCGAGCCACCTAGAAGCCTGGAGCCAGCAGTTCGGAAAGGAAAACAGCGTAACCTCGACAGTGCTATTTATCTGGATGACTCTGAGGAGAAAAGAAAAGAGCAGAGAGTTTGAATTGAATCTGAGACTCTGCTCTGAGACAGGCTGTTTCCATTCTGTATCCCGTGGTACAAACCTACCTGGCAAGGGCTAAACTTTATTGGGAAATCCACTGGGAATTCATTTTGGCAACAGCATCAGGCCAATAGCAGAGCATACCATACCAGTAGTGAGTCCAGGTGCCCTGACACAGTTGGCACCCGCAGCCAGTCTGTCAGCAGGCTCAGCTGGCATGTCCTAGGCCTCCTTGTCTCCTCTACTGCTGGCACAGCAGTGTCCCAAGGGGGTTCAGTCTGGGAACCAGGTGCTATTTCTTGAGTCTGGGAGACGGTCTCTGCTTCAGTTCTTGGTCTAGCTGGTTGGATGGGGTGGGCAGGACATGCTGTGGGACCGCTGCAGGGATGGCAGAGGAGGCATTGCCCAAAAGGGAAGGGCATAGCGGTGCAGATCACTGACCTCAGCAAAAGGATTGTGCTGTCCCTGGGCAAGGGGCCAGACCCAAGGCCTTCATCTTGGTGATGGCAGCAATCAAAAGCCCCAGGACCACTGGGACCATATCTGCCTTGACATTGACCATTTAGGGTGGTTTGGGGAACCTCCTCTGAAGTTTTCTGAAGGAAATGAGCACTAGTAGCAGTCCTTCTTCTTGTGTGGCCTGCATCTTTGTGCAGCTTCTTTGGCTGGACTTTTGGGATGGAGGAGTGGGGATACAATAGTGTCGTGGTTTTTTTTTTTTTGGACTGAGGGTCGAGACAAGAACCGAAAAGGGAGCACCCACCAAACATGGTCTCGGGCAAAACATGACTCAGGCTTTCTTAATAAAACAAAACAATTTATTAACAGTTACTTAACAAAAGACAAAAGGGAACGAAACCGGTTACTTGAGCGGAGAAAAGAGAAAACAAGGCCCGATCTTAAGAAACCTGGCAATAACCATCCCAGGAGAAGCATCTTTTGTGGGAATGGACAGGGAATGTGGGGCCCTTGATTTGAGCTTGAGATGAGAACCAGTGGCTGTTGTTGAAGTTAGGCAGAGCTCGTGATGGCAGTGGTCTTGGCAGGGGAGGTCATGTCCCCCAGAGCTGGCTGGGGAGTAGATGAGGAGAGAGGGGCTTGCAGGCTTCCAGCTGTGAACAGGCCTCTTCCTGCTCTTCATCGTTTGCTGTTTTCCACCAGACATATAAGAGCTGCTTGTACTTAGGCAGCAAAGACCCCGAATTTTCATCCAAGGCTGTCTTTGGTGGTGAAAACTGGAATGCCCAGCAGAGAGAATTGGAGAGGGGAGACAACTGCATGTAGGGCTGTCCTGCCTCTTTCTCCCTCTCCACGAGGCTTTGCCTCTTCCCTTTAAGGAAAAAAAAGCAGGAAGTGTGGGAAGGACAGGATTCATGCAATCTCAAGACGGTGGAAGAGATTAGTGGGGAAGAACAGAAAGATGGAGCAAGTACAAACTCTTCTGATTTTACCGAGAGACTGGAAGGAGGTGACACTCCAACTCAGTTGAGGTTGCACCAGACTGCAATTAAAACGGACAGTAAAGTACACAAATACCACAAGTTAAAGGGGAGGTGGCCCCTTCAACTGGCACGTGTGGCTCTTCTGACAGCCCTTATATCTGTCTGTCTTGTTACTACAGACTCGCTAATGCAAACACAATGAGATCTTTCAGGGATTTATGGAAGTTTGCTAGCAAAATACTGGCTCCAAGGCCAGATCCTGGCTATGTTTGGGCATGAGAGACGGAAACTGCTAGTAACTAATGCTAAGCTGACCTTCAGGCTGCCATCTAGTGTTTCCTCATAGACAGAAACAACATCCCAAAAACCAAACTTTTAAGCTCCATAATGTATTCAGAACAAATGTAATTTATTCCTGAAAAAATACAGTGCTGGACAACACACAAACTGAAGGAGAGGGAATGGGGAAGAGACATGTGGAGGACATCAGTGCTCAGGGTGAATGTTTAGGGAGACAGCTTTTCTTGAAAGAATTTGTGACTATTTCATCCAGGAACAGGGAGAGACATCTCAACAGCAAGATAATTACTCAGAACCAGGATTTGTCCTCATTTGTTTTTCACTCTGTGAAATTGATATGGCTGTTTGCAAGGTGCAACAGTACACAACAGAGCAAGAATCCAAGCAGGGAGACCAGCATTAAGAGGCTTGGCAGGATCTTCTTGTCTACCCTTGCTACTTTCATAAAAACACATGGTATGTTTACTTCACAGCCATCAGATGCTGATTTTTCTTTCAAGTATACGTGACGGCTAACAAGAGGTAACAAGTTATTGCTGGGGCATGTGCAAAAGATTTTACTCTTGGCCCTTCAAAGCTCGATCTCTGGCTTTGAGGAGCTGTAACAGGATGCTTTTCCTACTGTTGCACATCCTGGATTCATGCTGGAACTGTAGAACTCCAGCCCTAATGGTAACAACTCAAGAGTTCCTGGGCTGGATGATGCAATTACAACAGAGAGCATTCTTTTTCCCCAGGCTTCTTTGAGGTGTTTTGAGCCAAAGTCCAAAATAAACATGAAGCATCCAAAGTCATTGTTCTTTTTAGGAGACCTTGACCTCTGAGCTTTGCTTCCTGACAACCTGAGCAGGAAAGCTACCAGGAAGGAAAATGACAAATGAAAATGGCAATGAAAAATGGCAAAAAATCGGGTAATTTAAGAAAATAGACTGCCCAGAGGGAAAGGAAAGCCGTAATAAGCAGCCTTTAAAGGGCTCCTCCTGGCATTGTATGAAATCAGGTATGAATTTAGTCATTTGCAGGAAAGTTTTTGCATTTATAATACAATTTTGGTAGCAATAGAACACACGTGCGTTTGAACATTGTGTATACAAACTGACTGCATGTTCAGTGCTGTCAGGACACGGCTTGTTTAGGTGAAGAGAAATGTTGGCACAGCAAGGAACAGAACCAAGCTCTTCAGCTGAAAGGACCACGTACTTCTCTGCTTACAAATCACCACTCAAGTTACAAAATGAAAGTTGTCTCACGTTCTTAGGTCTTTCAAGGACCTACTCCACAGAACAGAAAGTCCTCAGGTGCGTAATGGTAGAATCCATGTGTCTCCTTCACACTATTCTTTTTTTTTTCATCAAGAGAACAAGTACATCCCAAACTGACCGAACAGAGCCTACTGCTGGATTAAGGCATTGTTATTCTTCCTCTCCAACTCTTGGTACCAGGCTACAACATCCACGTAGGTACCAAAAGCTTTCTCCTAAACACACTGAACAAAAACATAGCCTTTCTTTACACTTAGTGGGCTTTGAATTTAGACCCAGTAGTCTTGTATGGTCTGAATATGGGGCTTTTATTTTCCAAAGCTCATGTTTAATGCTCATTGCTGTGGAAGTCACATTCTCTTTCAGTTCCTTGTTCTCTCCGCTTCCATCAAGTCATGATGACACTCAGCAAGGATAAGTGAATGAAAAAATTATATGCTTCAGCTCTTTTCCAAAGTGCTCAGGATTTCTGTGGATTAAAAAGGGGTAAAGCTCAAGCTGTAAAACAGCTTCATCTCCAAAGAGCCCATCTGAGAATACCACGGGGCAAAGGCTTGAAAACCAAGAGCATGTGTCTGTAAGCAGTCTCTTCGAGATCTGCATCATCTGATTGCTTACAACGTGGCCACATGCTTGCTAGTGTGGGATATGGGGGCCACAGAGCAATGGCTGTACAGCTCCAAAACCAAGCTATTCCCCATCCAACAGGGAGAGACTGCCATTGGGTCACTGGCATTGGGGTTCACCAAAATCTGAAGTGAACTGGGGTACTCCTTTCTGGGTGACCGCTGCTTTTACTCTGTGGGGAAGTGGGTGAGGGCTTTGTGTGTAAGACATGGGCCAAAGCCACAGGAATCAGCACAAAGCTTGTGGAGGGCATGCCACAGTCTCTGCTCTTCAGTCCACTGCCAATCAGTTTAAGAGGACCAATATTTTTTTAACTCTTTTTCTGCATTTTTTTAAAGAGAGTTTTTGTGTAAATGTTGCAAAAAAAAATTTATTATTTCTTAAGGAACAAATTCCCCCCCCCCCGCACTCACACAGCTTCGTTTCTCTCCCTCCGCCTCTTCCAATGATAGATTAAACATGCCAAATGGAAGCTTGCACAGCTCCAGCATTGGGTGAGTTTTTATTATTTTAATCAAAAGGTACAAGTTCAGTTGTTCTTTTCTCCTCAGTTCTGGGGACAGAGATTTTTGCCCTCCAGGCAAGCTAAATAAATACGAACGACATCAACTTCAGTGTGTTGTTGGTCTCATGATTCACTATAACATTTCCCTAGTACCCGGCATGGCCGCCTCCCGAATAAGCAGAGTTAAAACTTTCCTGTAGGTGTCTAAGACCTCTTGGGCAGAAGGCCTTTCAGCCGGGTCCTTCTTCTTACATGCTGCGTGGATGTCAAACAAATGCAGTCGCACAATGTCACTTCCTTCAACATGGCCCAAGAAAAAATTGGAGACATCTGGGATTTTCCAGATGTCCGTTTTCTCATCATAGGGAGGCATGAGGTCATCCTCGAATGGCACCTCTTCTCCGTAGGGCCAACGCTGCTCAGGAGCTACAAAATCGCCCTGGAGCTCCCGATGACCGCACTTCACCAGCCTGCCGGCACTCCTGTTCACAAGAGGCAAAGCGTCCAAATCATTCACCAGGATGTGAAAGTCACTTGTTAGGAGATACTGAGAGAGGACCTTGTCCAGGTCATTCGAGTCACACATCACCAAGGTGCCCAGAGGGCTGCTGTGCAGGTACCGAATGATGCTCACGTAGTCTATAGCAAGCATCAACCTGCGATGCCAGGTGTTCATGCCCTTGTACTTCGGGATGTGGAGAGTTTCATTTAGGCCCCTCAGGGAGCCTAGAGGATGGTACTCAGTGAGGATTGTGAACTGCTGCTCACAGTAGCCAAGCAGCCGGACTACGTGCTTGCTTTGAAGTGCTTTCAGCATCTTCAGGCCGTGGAGAAAGTCCTCCTTCAGCTCAGAGTTGGTGAGCTGCGAAAGGACCACTTTGTTTTCCTTCCACTCAGAAAGGAAGACCTGAGAACACACAAGAGACACATAAGACACACAGCCAGCCTTCTTCCTAAGTTTTCTTTGGAATGGGCAATCCAGATGAATGATAAATTATTTCGTACCACCCAACCAGCTAGTCCTACTCTGCCACGATTGTACCACGCTCCACGAGCGCTTCACTGATCTCTGTGATTTTGCTCGTGTAGGAGTATGTCGTTCAGTGTTGGGGAGGTGGCCCAAGGCTCCGGGCACGCTCTCCTACCTGTTCTTTGCACCTGGATGTCTTACAGTAATTAGCTACTGTGAGGATAATTATAACAGTGGTATGGGCATTAATTAGCCAGCAAACAGTGAAAGCTCGTTATCCACAGAAGAGAAGAAAGGAAAACCAAACTCACCTTTTTCACAGCACCTTCACCAACACACTTGAGTTTCCTGACTTCCCTATTTATGGCTTCGCAGGAGAGCCACGGGGAACAATTCTTCACCGTTCCCCATTTGAAGTGCCCGAAAGGGCAGAGGCCCGGGTCTGTTTCGGCACGTCCAGAAGAGATGTAAAACTTGTTGAGGAACAGGTAGAGAAAGGCGTTAAGGAGCAGGACGGCTGCAAGCAGTACCGCCAACGAGACGGACGACGCCTCCCTGGGAGGAAACTCCCTCCTGACAAAGTGCGGTTTCTTCTCCATGGCTATACCTTCTGCCTTCACCATGAAGGACGGAGGCTCAGCCTGACCCTCTTCCCCGCCCGGGCACGAACGTCTGTGCGGCTTTTTCATCGCAGGTCGCCTCG